TTTTTGGGTGAACTAACCCTTTAATTGCTTGGTGCACCTTAGTAACAGGAAATACAATTTCCCTACATACAGGATGGGTTAAATATTGTAAACATTGGAATGTAAGTCTGCTAAATATTTATAGAGTTGGTTAATTTTTGCTTATCAAATTAATCGCATTGATAACGCTGCCCTGCATCATGTTGAACCAAATCCAATACTAAGTTTCTTACTAATTTTGAGGTGTTGATTGCAAAAAAAAAAAATAGTGCCTGTTTTGCTCGAGCACATCACACTTTCTCACAAAATATGATGTATTTTGTAGCATTTTTGCTTTTGACAATCATTTGTACAGTGAAGAGGTCATGTATTATTCTGAGGACATTATTTTATGCCTAATCCTGATTTCAAGGTAAGAATTATGGGCAGTGACTGAAGAAAATGCAAACATGAGCAAGATGTTTTCTGCTACATCTGTGGGTGTTTTTCTACATTCAGACAGTGACAGAAGTTACAGATTTGACACTAAATGGAATTGTACATTTAAATTATATATATATATATATATGTATCAAACCCAGCAGAATTTTTTTTCAAGATGCAGGGCTGGTAATAAATGAATAAGTAATTACAAATATGGATCAGCTATTTTTCTGAGATGTTACAGTATGTAACTAATATTCAAGACATCATAATAAGTAATATTCTACCACAACACAGAGCGAGATCTTATGCAGCTCTTATCCTATTGTCGGACAAGCAACAATCGTAAAGTACAGCTAAAAATCACACTGTCTGCTTCTGGTTCTAAGATTTTTATGATGTACGTTGGACAGAATCACGTGAACCTGGTGCACAGGAAGGGCCGGACCAAAGTCTGTCCTCATCCAGGCTGCGGGAAGAAGTTTTATCTGTCTAACCATCTTCATCGGCACATGATCATACACTCAGGTACAGTCATCAGATATTATGTGCTTGTGCCAGTGTTATTTTAGTATCAGTGGTACACTATTATAGTTTCTGTTCATTTAAAATTAACTTCAATATCTTCTGTTCTCACTGGCGTTCCCCATAGCGACCCCTAGAGGACGCAGTTCGAAGTTCCCATGAAAGGGAACCAAAACTTGTTTCTTACTAGTTTTGGGGATCTGATTCCAAAAATAGTGCCTGTTTTGCTCGAGCACATCACACTTTCTCACAAAATATGATGTATTTTGTAGCATTTTTGCTTTTGACAATCATTTGTACAGTGAAGAGGTCATGTATTATTCTGAGGACATTATTTTATGCCTAATCCTGATTTCAAGGTAAGAATTATGGGCAGTGACTGAAGAAAATGCAAACAAGAGCAAGATGTTTTCTGCTACATCTGTGGGTGTTTTTCTACATTCAGACAGTGACAGAAGTTACAGATTTGACACTAAATGGAATTGTACATTTAAATTATATATATATATATATATGTATCAAACCCAGCAGAATTTTTTTTCAAGATGCAGGGCTGGTAATAAATGAATAAGTAATTACAAATATGGATCAGCTATTTTTCTGAGATGTTACAGTATGTAACTAATATTCAAGACATCATAATAAGTAATATTCTACCACAACACAGAGCGAGATCTTATGCAGCTCTTATCCTATTGTCGGACAAGCAACAATCGTAAAGTACAGCTAAAAATCACACTGTCTCCTTCTGGTTATACGATTTTTATGATGTACGTTGGACAGAATCACGTGAACCTGGTGCACAGGAAGGGCCGGACCAAAGTCTGTCCTCATCCAGGCTGCGGGAAGAAGTTTTATCTGTCTAACCATCTTCATCGGCACATGATCATACACTCAGGTACAGCCATCAGATATTATGTGCTTGTGCCAGTGTTATTTTAGTATCAGTGGTACACTATTATAGTTTCGGTTCATTTAAAATTAACTTCAATATCTTCTGTTCTCACTCTTAATTTTATTTAAAATGTTTCAAATTTGGTTGTTTTTGTCATTTTTATTAGTTGTTTTTTTCTTAAATGTCTATTTTTTATAATTTTTTATTTAATAGTTTTAGATATTTTAGTTAAACTAAACAAAAATGAGAAATGTTGCCTTAACAATTAGCTGAAATAAAATCAGGTTATTTTTTTATATATATTTTATTTGATCCTTTTCAGTTTACAATTCACAGCACATTTTTGTTGTTTTCTTTTTCTTTTCTTTTTTTATTGCTGCAGTTTTCGTTGTAGTTTTACAGTATTTAGTTTTTATGTCAATTTTAGCGTTTTAACTTTTAACATTGTAATTTAACTGATATCATTTATCTGATTGCATTTCTTACAGCTGTATAGTGACAAATAGTTTTATATCTATATCTGGGTGTATGTATGTGTATATATATATATATATATATATTTTTTTTTTTGTAAATATAAAATGGACTTGCACACACATTATTAATCATGAAGTTATAATATAAAAAGTTTAAAATAAAATAATAATATAATATATTATATAAAATAATATAAAAAATTTAAAAGTTACTTAATTTAGTTTTTTTAATCAACTAATGATATTTATCAGTAATCAAAAATATATTTTTGCGTTCGTGCAGGTGTGCGAGACTTTATCTGTGAAACATGTGGGAAGTCATTTAAACGCAAGAATCACTTAGAAGTGCACAGACGAACACACACGGGAGAGACGCCGTTACAGTGAGTTCAGTGAAAAGGTTCATGTGGGCTAATATATTTATTGAATGTCACTTCATAAGAGTTTTTCTTGAACCCGTCCCTACAGATGTGAGATATGTGGGTATCAGTGTCGACAGAGAGCGTCACTCAACTGGCACATGAGGAAACACACGTCTGAAGCGCACTTCAACTATACGTGTGAACACTGCGGCAAACGCTTCGAGAAACTCGACAGCGTCAAGTTCCACAAACTCAAGAGCCATCCAGACAAACAGCCCACCTGAAAGACGCTTGAAGTCCTGAGTATGTGAAAAGATTGATTAAGGCTGTGGAACGTGTTATTTAGCAGTAATTGCATTTTGTGCACTTTTAGGTGTATTTTCATGAAAAATCTTTTTGTGAAAAATCTTTTTGTAAAAAATCAAGACCTGGTATTGACCTAATATATGCTTGATAGATACTCAAATAGAGGAGAAAAGGACATGCAAAAACGTACAGAGAGACACCGATCGAGAGAATCGACGCAGTTTTTGTTTTTTGTCAAATGTGTGTTTTTAGTTTATTCCTGTGCTGGACACAGAAAAACAAAACTGTACTTCTGCTGACACTGTATGAACAAACATATTAATGTTTACACCAGTTTTTTAATCTTATTATCCAAATCAGGGTGATATAATTAAAGTATGTCTGCTGTACCTTGCAGAAACCCATACTGCTTCATTAAAGCTTCAATTTATTTACATTGCCTTGTCCAATCCACTTTTTTTAAAACATCTGTTAGAACATAGTCTTCTATGTAGCCCGAAATATTCCTGGTCAGCATATTGTATTTATCATTTATAACTTAAGCTACATTGCAGCTTTGACGGTTGTACACTTACCCCATATACTTAAATTGTAAGCACATAACCATCAACACATTAGTTTTTTACAAAATGTATCCATTTATATCAGTCCTTCGCTATCCAGGATATAGATGCATTTTTTTCTTCATCAGAACAGATTTGGAGAAATGTAGAATTATATCACTTGCTCACCAATGGATCCTCTGCAGTGAATGGGTGCCGTCAGAATGAGAGTCCAAACAGCTGATAAAAACATCACCGTAATCCGCAATAACGTTTCCGCCAGAGATGGAGTCCGTCTTCTGTTGTCCTCTCACATCAACATCCACATATTTGTTTAGAACTGTCTTAGACTGTTTTCGCTTGTAAACGGTGCTTGATCTGTGCATATTTCTCTTTTGATTCAGACGAGACATTTTTACTGGAGGAAGCAGTATTATGGATTTTGGACTTAGCCAGAAACAACGGTTTGAAGTTAAAAACTTCTTAATCATGGATGTTTATTACAAACATTCAGATTAATTGAGTTGTGTGGGTTACTTGTGGAACAGGTCTGTGGACGATGCAGTAAACATGGGACTGCATTATGTTCTGCAACATCTGGACAGACCAGGGACTTATGTGAGGATCCTGTTTGTGGACTTCAGCTCGGCCTTTAACACGGTCATCCCAAACCTCCTGCCCAAACTAACTCAGCTCTCCGTGCCCATCTCCGTCTGTCAGTGGATCAACAGCTTCCTGACAGACAGGCAGCAGCTTTTGTTCTGTCACTGTCATTCTGTTACACTGTGGAAGCTTCTGTCACGAAAACAAATTTCTCGTATGTGTAAACATACCTGGCAATAAAGCTCATTCTGATTCTGATTCTGATTATTGTGATGTTTTAATCAGCTGTTTGGACTCTCATTCTGACGGCACCCATTCACTGCAGAGGATCCATTGGTGAGCAAGTGATGTAGTCAACAAACCAGCTCATCTACATCTCGGAAGGCCTGATGGTAATTTTCAGCCAATTTTCTTTTTTGGGTGAACTGTTCCTTTAAAGGGATAGTTCACTCAAAAATGAAAATTCTGTCATTTACTCACCCTCAAGTTGTTCCAAACCTGTGTGAGTTTCTTTCAACTGTTGAAAAAAAAAAGATATTTTGAAGAATGTTGGTAACCAAACAGTTGACGGTAGCCATTGACTTTCATAGTATTTTTTTTCCCATGCTATGGAAGTCAATGGCTACTGTGAACTCTTTGGTTACCAACATTCTTCAAAATATCTTTTTTTGTGCTCAAAAGAAGAAAGAAACTCACACAGGTTTGGAACAACTTGAGGGTGAGTAAATGACAGAATTTTCATTTTTGGGTGAACTGTCCCTTTAAGTGTTATCAATTTATTTTCTTCTATTTAACAGAATTCTATTTAACTCAAACTTTTAGAATCTTGTTAAGCTGAAATTCTAAGCAGAGGGACATTATTTCCTGCAAGGTTCAACATGATTCAGCATACATATACTACTTATGTATAAATACACGCTTGTATTTGTAGATTCTTAGTTGGTGGTGTTGATAATATAAACATTTCCTTCTGCTTTTTTCTCTCTCGTTTCAATAGTAAGTCAACGGTCATATTTCACATACCTGAAGCTATTTTAAATGCATATGTCTACATGTAAACAATCCAAAACTACAACAAATACACAGTCGTTCAGAATATGTGCACTAAAACAGAAGTAAATTGTACTGATGGAAGCATTGTATAAGACTAATGCATTTATCTAAACAAAAATCATTTGACTTTTTTGTGTTTCTTGGTTCATGAAAAGCAGGAACCCTGTGAATGCTGATCATCAGTAATAATTTGTGAGAATGGCTCTGAATCTGAACTTCACAGGGAAGTGTTATTGAATATTTCAACTCTCAGGTAAAGAAAGTTCCCCTTGTGCCGCGTTCATTTGCATTTCTTTGTTTTGTGGTAGTTTTTAATATAAATGTCCTGTTTTTATTATTTGTACATCACGTTGTTCCTAAATTCTTCAAGGTCCTGGATAATGTTTGGATTCAGTGCAGTGTTTCTGCTTGAATGAATTAAAGGGTGACTGAAAGCACAATGACCTTGTCTGAAGTGTTATGAGGATGTTGAGTCATAACTGAGGCCTTGAGAGACTAAGACTGTCAGGAACAGTGACCGGCTGCATGTTTAATTGGCTGGTTGAGGTTGGGAAAATGCCGGTTTGTCTACAGGTGGAACACTGACGTCATTGTTCCTCTTAATAATCAACTTTTTGTACCCGCATTGACTGTCTACACTCTTAAAAATAAAGGTTCCAAAAGGGGGCTTTCGCAGCGATCCAAGATCCATTTTGGGTTCTCGGAACCTTTCAGAGAACATTTCTTAAAAGAACCATTTTTTTCATAGTGTGAAGAACTTTTTAGTAATACAAAGAACCTTTTTCCACTATAAAGGACCTTTTGTGGAATGGAAAGGTTCCATGGATGTTAGTGGCTCTTTATGGAATCATAGATGCTAATAAAGAACCTTCATTTTTCATAGTGACTTCTGCTTCTAAAATTCTTTTTTGAACGTTTTTCCCCCCAAACTTGTATTGAACCTACTTTTTCTTACTCTTTTGTAACAAGCTTTCTTGATAATTGTGCTTGTTCATGCAGGATGATGTTGAATGAGTGTTTTGAGTGCGGTCTGTTCGAGTGACGTTCACAGATTCGGAATGAGATCTCATGAGAGATCCGTGCTATTTTGATGGGTTTGTGTCAGTGACAGTGTGTGGCTGTCGTTAACGCTGTATCACTTCACTGTTCAAGCCCTGGTTGTCGCCCACATTTCCTACAAATACTGATGTCAACAGTCATTTGATTTCCCTTCTGAAACTCTTCTGTCGAAAATACCAAGTATACTCTGATATAGCCTATACAGTCTCCTTTTGCTCACCAAAGCTGCATTTGTTTGATCAAAAATACAATAAAAACAGTAATATTGTGAACTATTATTACAATTCAAAATAACTGTTTCCTTTTTGAATTTATTTTAAAATGTAATTTATTCCTGTGATGTAAAGCTGAATTTTCAGCATCACAAGATCCTTCAGAACTCATTCTAATATGCTGATTTTCTGTTCAAGGAACATTTCTTATTATTATCGGTGTTGAAAACCGTTTTTGTTGCTTAATATTTTATTTTTCAGGATTCTTTGATGAATAGAAAGTTCAAAAGAACAGCATTTATTTGAAATTTGAAGTCTTTTGTAACATTTTAAATGTCTTTAACTGCCACTTTTGATCAATTTAATGCATCCTTATTGAATAAAAGTATTAATTTATTTTAAAAAATCTTACTGACCACAAACTTTTGAATAATAACTGTGGCACTGCATGATGCCAGTATTAATATTTACATTATACTCCATGGTATTTCAAAGAATACCATGGTAGTGCCATGGTACATTTCCTATCACATCCCAAAAAAATTTTAATACCATGGTATTACAAAAAAAAATAATGCTACTGCATGGTATTTTGAACAGGTATAGTAGTACCACTATTTAAAAATGAATTTCAAATTACCATGGTATTCCCAGCTGATACCTTTATTGTACGATGTTTTTGTAAGAAGATGGTACTGAATGATTGCCATGTTCATATACCATGGTACTTCACAAAAGCTGTACGAAAGCTGTCATCGGGGTGGTACCTTTAGCTACTAATATTTACACTTTAGGTATTAATATGTACCTTTAAGGTACCAATATGGACGCTTTAGGTACAATATGTTTTCAAAAGGTACCGCTTTTGTTTTCAGAGAGTGCATGGTAGTTTTTGTAAGTAAACTCGCAAATATTAACTTAACAACCCAATAATGATTAATCTGTTTAATAAGAGAAGATTTTAATAGGTCAAAATCATATTCATTCATTTTGACAATAAAGAATAACTGAGAAGTAATTTTGTGAAAGTAAACTTTTAGACTTCAAGTGGGGATCCAGTGATATAATGACTGATTATTATTATTATTATATTTTTTATTATTATTTTATACTTATTTTTAAATGAGGTGTATTATAATGTACAGTACAGTTAATGTAAATATGTAAATGTAAATAACTGTGTAATACTTAACCTGGCATTACACATTAATTAATATATTATGCGTTCTGCTATCAAATAATACAAATGTGACCCTGGAGCACAAAAGCAGTCTTAAGTCGCTGGGGTATATCTGTAGCAATAGCCAAAAATACATTGTATGGGTCAAAATTATAGATTTTTATTTTATGCCAAAAATCATTAGGATATTAAGTAAAGATCCTGTTCAATGAAGATATTTTGTAAATTTCCTACCGTAAATATCTCAAAACTTAATTTTTGATTAGTAATATGCATAGCTAAGAACTTCATTTGGACAACTTTAAAGGCGATTTTCTCAATATTTAGATTTTTTTGCACCCTCAGATTCCAGATTTTCAAATAGTTGTATCTCGGCCAAATATTGTCCTATCCTAACAAACCACACATCAATGGAAAGCTTATTTATTCAGCTTTCAGATGATGTATAAATCTCAATTTCGAAAAATTGACCCTTATGACTGGTTTTGTGGTCCAGGGTCACAAATGAAAGTTGCATGTTCTCAAGAGCCTCCAAGGGACATGGTCTGTCTCCATCTCTCCCAGAAATGAGCAGTACCCAGAGCTCAGAAAGACAATGTCCCATGCACTCTCTACTGACCAACACAAAGCCCGCTTTATTGTTTTTGCAACCGCTTTTGCTATGCACTGTTGCCTCTGATTTACCTCTGAAACAATGACAAAATGAGGAAACCCGATAGGCTAGTTGAGCGTCGAGTTTCAGGGGTTCAAAAACCGGATTAATGATGCAGAACACGGCGAGTAAACATTAACACACCCCTATGAATGATTTTCATGTAGGAAAAACAAGCACACTTGTGTTTGCTGTAGGCTACACATACCGCATTCATCTGTAGAAAGCATTTTCATTTCAAAGACTCGAGGCTACAAAATACTAACACGCTGTTTGTTTATTCCTCATGTCTCCATGGACTCTTAAATATTCATGGGTGACCAGGTTAATAATAGTTTACAGACTCAAATCTCTCTAATATGGAAGCAAACAGCTGATTTTGTTAGATGGTGAGACAAAAATCTTTTAGTTTCTTTTCGGAAGAATTGTAGATAACAACTTCAACACGACGAATCAGCAGACTGATAAACATTGACCTGACTTTTGACCTTTTGATGTTAAAATCATTATGATATTATTTCATCCTACGTTTGTTCAGACAACTTTTGTTCACATACAGAAATGTATACATACACTTGTATATATATATATATATATATATACACACATATATGTACACATTTACACTATACCGTTTAAAAGTTTGGGGTCTGTAATTTTTTTTCTCTTCTGCTCACCAAGGCTGCATTTATTTGGAAAAAATGCAGCAAATACAGAAATATTATTGCAATATAAAATAACTGCTTTCAATTTTCATATATTTAAAAATGTAATTTATTCCTGTGATCAAAGCTGAATTTTCAGCATCATTACTCCAGTCTTCAGTGTCACATGATCCTTCAGAAATCATTCTAATATGCCGATTTGATGCTCAAGAAATATTTCTTATGATAATCAATGGCATGTATTTGAAATAGAAATCTTTGTTAGCATTATAAATGAATAACTGCTTTCAATTTTCATATATTTAAAAATGTAATTTATTCCTGTGATCAAAGCTGAATTTTCAGCATCATTACTCCAGTCTTCAGTGTCACATGATCCTTCAGAAATCATTCTAATATGCTGATTTGATGCTCAAGAAATATTTCTTATGATAATCAATGGCATGTATTTGAAATGGAAATCTTTTTTAGCATTATAAATGTCTTCACTGTCACTTTTGATTAATTTAATGCATCCTTGCTGAATAAAAGTATTAATTTCTTTTTTTAAAAATCTAAATATATTTACATGTATAGACCAATGATTCCTCAAATCATGAGGAGGCCTGAGCTGTTACTTTTCCAAGTCATCTGACTTCTGATTTTTACCTTAAAAATTGCTTATAATTAAATTATATTTTACAACCTGTCATAACATTTGAAGTCTAGTGGCGCTAGGGCACTCAGCACATTCAACAGTAACTGACAGTCTGTAATTGTGAAACATGTCACATCAATAGCACTTTATTGATGTTTTTTACATGTTTATCTCATCTGTCTTTGGACAATGACCTGATCAGAACTTTCTGTTCATCTTAAACCTAAACAAACTCTGACCTCACATCAGAGACGTGAGCATGTGACACACACGTTGTGTGGTGGTTCTTATGGAGTGGTGCTCAACCCTTGGGTTGCAAGTGGCCTTAAAGGTTTATGGACGGTGTGATCAAACCTATTTAAAGTCCTATAAAGGCCTCATAAGTGACCTCAGCTCTTTGCAGGAAGTGATGCGTCACCTGACAGCAACTTATAGACTGTCATGTTGGTGGACTGTAAGCAGAAGTATAGCTCATTAAGTGAAGTTATTTGTGTTCGGAGGCGATCAGGTTACAGTAATGCCTCTCTGAAAGGTGCAGAGTGTTCTCTTCTCTTGGACTTTATATTGTGTTTTAAAGGAAATGCTCTTGTTAAATCACCTCCCCTTGTTTCCATAGAGTCACTGGCAGTAACTGTTTTCACAACGTAATCGAGCGTTGATTATCAAAGTTTTGAACACAAATAAAGACGTTATTCAAAATTACATCAGAATGTGGCATATTAATTTTCGTTTGACAGCACTAAGTAACATTTAAGTTATATTATATATGTGTGTGTGTATAAATATTATTTAAAATTATAATATTTAGATACCAAATGTTACTTGACATTATTAAAAAATGTATACAAATGATATATTTTAAAGAAAAAATCGAAAAATATATTTTTTAGTTGTAAAATTATACATTTATTTAAATACATAAAACATATGCCTAAATAAAAGTACAAGTTAGAGTTTTCGATTATTGTTATTATTTCTTTTTATTTTATTTGACTATTTTCTGACCAAAATCTGACCATCTGTGTGAGGAGTCACAAGCTCAATGTCCCTAATTTTCTTGCATTTGAATAGTGACCTAGAATCATGCAGTCTCTTGTTATTTCTTATCTTGGACTTTTGGACCTCGCTGCATGTGTGGAAAAGTAAAGCAAGGTTTTTTGTCTCTCCCATTGTGTTCACTACAAAAAGCTGTTTCAAAGACTCTTTAAATATTACCTCAGGTCCTTTGGTCTATTCAGCACACTATTAAAACACAGATCTGGCCTTATAGAGAACTGGATATGGCATATGTTTGTACAGTATTGTATTGCATTTGTTGGAATTTCACACCTTATTCTGGTTATATATGTATAAGTACGTCCTCATTTCATAAGTTCTCACAATTACCAACCTTTGTTGACCAGTTCTTAGTATTGATCAAAGATCAAACACTAGTTTGACGTACTTAAAATGAGGCGTATTTTTAGAGTTTTCTTTTTTTTATAAGAGTATCTTATTAAAGAGTTTGTGTGGTTCGCATGAACTTTTGATCTGTGAGACCAGCGTTCTGAGGTTAACGAGGGTTGTAGTTAAATTATTTACTACAGCAAAACCACCATCTTTTCCTCGCAGCACTTCCTGTTCTTATGGTGTACTTTGTTTCACAAAATCATCTAAGCGATTATGTTTATTCTATGTTCATTTATTAAAAGCTGTCAGTTTTTTAATAAAGATTAAGATACATTTTGGAATAAAACACAAGGCAAAACTAAATCCCCATAATATTATATTATTATAATAGTATTAACAATAATAATAAAAACTTTTTTCTTTGTTGTTAATTGTTTTTATTATACTTTTTCAGGTGTCATATCCATCCAATAAAAATGGGTTGCTTTGGATTTTTGAAAGCCATGATGTTTCTCTTCAATGGTATCATCTTTGTAAGTAAAGCTTATGTTTGTTTGCTGATGTTTAAATATATTTATGAATTGCTCAGCATTATAATAACCAGCCTGATTTGCACAGTTTTTTTTTTTTTTTTTCAGTTGATTATGTTTAAAATTATTCTATAGAATCACTTCAGGTTTACCTGCTTTAATGTACCGTGACAGTGGCCATGTTTGCATAAACACAGAGACTATCTACTTATAAATAGTTTCTCTCACTCCAAAACATGTATTTGCATTTACATTCTCAGCTGCTGTTTTCTCAGTGAAGTGACTCAAGACTATATCGCACAAAATCTGCAAAGGGGGTAATTAAATATAACAAAGCGTGTAAAAATTCATCAGTTATCAAACTTTGATAACTGCCCTAAATGAATTCAACTTTTGAAAATCAAAAAAATGTTTAAACCAGGAAAAGAGGTGTTTCTTTTATTTAACCCCATGAAATGTAGATCCTGTTGTAAATAAATCTCTTTTTAAAACTTGTTCCATTATTTACCCCTTAGCAGATTTTGACTCTTATATTGAACGTCAAGTACGATGAAAATATAGCTAAAACATGGCTCTGCTGTGGCAGCAAAATTTATATCTTGTCTGCTTCTTAAACAGTGACTTATTGGTCCAAATACATTTAGGGTGTTGATATGAGGATCATGGCACATGTTTAAATCAAGTCTAATTGTGTTTTTGTGGTGCAGCTGGCAGGAGCAGTTATTCTAGGTGTGGGGATCTGGGTGAAGGTGGACAGTGGGTCTGTCCTGAATTTTCTGCAGAATATACAAGGAGCCCCAGGTGAGCTGGGGCAGGTGTTGAACGTGGGATACCTCCTCATCGCTGTGGGCGCTGTGCTGCTCATCCTGGGCTTCCTGGGCTGCTGTGGAGCGATCCGAGAGAGCAGGTGTATGCTGCTGCTGGTATGTCAAAGCAGACTCACACAACACATAATGAGGTTCCCACGATCCACTCTTAAAGGGGTCATATGATGCGATTTCAAGTTTTAGAAAGCGAAACTACTTTGTTTGGCCTTCCAAAAATGGACACGACTAGAAATCAGTGGTTAAGTTGTATTTACAACACTGTTCCAGAACAGTTCAACCCAAATATTCAGATGACGGCAGGACAGGGCATCACAGTAGGGTAAGGGGCGTAACATTTCTGTCACACGCTTGAGGTATTCGGCCAATCACAACGCACTGGATAGCTGGCCAATCACAGCACACCTCGCTTTTCAGACCGATGAGCTTTGTAAAAATCGACGCGTTTCAGAAAGGTGGGGCATAGAGGAGAAACAATAATGTACAGTATGTGGAAAATAATGTGTTTTTTGAACCTTAAACTGCATAAACACATTTCATTACACCAAATACACAAAAGAATGTTCTTTTTAGCAGCATCATATGACCCCTTTAAAATAAAGGTTCTTTATGGGCATCTTTGGTTCCATGAGGAATCTTTAACATCCATGGAACCTTTACATTCCACAAAATGTTCTTTAGATTATTGAAATATTCTGCACACTAAGAAAAAAGTTTAAGAACCGTTCACAATGGCGCAGCAAAAATGGTTCTTCTAAATGTAGAGAATTTAAAATATAAAACAAAACATAACAATATATTTTTATTTATACTGTTTAGCTTTTAATTTATATTTGAAAGCCTTTATACATATACACTGTTATACTACATAAGTTATATATTAAATTGTATAAACTCGCCATATGCTGTACTAGCGGACTTCTGTTTGTTCATTCATTCATTGAATCTGTCCTCAGTTCTTCATCATTATTCTGATTGTGTTCATTGTTGAAGTGGCTGGAGCGATTGTGTTACTGGTCTTTAAGCCTCTGGTAAGTCTGTACACACCATATTTAAACACTCCTTTGTCTGTAAAGAACTCATGGAAATACTCAAACCTCCTCATTTGTATATTTCAGGCTGAAAACCTGATTAAACAGGTGGGAGGCGAAGTTGTGAAAAGCATCAGAAACGATTATGGGAAAAATTCGGACGTCACTGGACTATGGAACTCGACCATGACCACGGTTTGTGACACTTTAGTTGATCAAGAAGGAAATAAAAGTTATTATTATTATTTGGTCATTATTATTATTGGTAGTAGTGGTTGAAACAGAAAATTTCTTAAAATTAAAATCCTGAAATTCTAATAATATAAAATATATAAGAATATAGAATATCTTCCAGTTTAATATTGTACATTTTATATTTTGAGACCTGTGCCTCATATAAAAATGGTATCGCATAAGAACAGTCTTTAAAAATGTACCACAACACCTGAGCAAGTAAAATAAGTATGTATATGTTAATGTCCATTGTAAGAAATATCACTTCAAGTACAGAATTTAGCTGATTTTTTACCTTCTGTCTCTCCTTTAGCTGAAGTGCTGTGGATTCAACAACTATACGGATTTCACAAATTCTTACTTTGTGAACGACACCAAGAGTTACCCATTTCAGTGCTGTAATAGAGTTCCATGCACTGAGATGACAGCTTTTAATTCGGTGGGTTCATCTCTTAGCATGTTTATTCCTTCTAGTTTGCATGCTTTTTGGATTGTATATCATATAGCATATAAATATCATCAAATTTGGTCTATTTTTTTGTTTCCTCAGACTATACCAGGTTGTTTCCCGGCATTGAAGAAGCTGGTAGACGATAATGCAGTTATCATCATAGCTGTAGCATTAGGCATCGCTGCTCTAGAGGTACCGGACACACTTTCTTTCTGTCACTGTGTTCACACATTTTAAAAGCAAAAAAAAAAAAATCAGTTGTGCACACTCTGTATGATAAGTTTGATGAGATACTGAAAATGTGCTAAAATGTATGCTACATTTTTGCCACTTTCCGTTATCACACTGGAAATGAAAATGGGTATTTTGCATTTGAATCCAGTTTTGTGTAAAAAAAAATATATCTTCGCTCTTGGCAGTCCAATTCAAATTTTTGTGGAAGATTACAAAAACAAGCTTCTTTATAACAACATTTCTTTATAATAACAATAAGACCAGAGACATTTATTAAGCAAATAAATATGATCAGTTTTGATTTCCTGTTGTATGTTGAATAGTTCACCCAAAATTTTAAATTTGCTTAAAATGTACTCATCCTCAGCTTATCCAAGATAAGTTTGTTTCTTCATCTGAACAGATTTGGGGAAATGTAGCATTACATCACTTGCTCACCAGTGGATCCTCTGCAGTGAATGGGTGCCGTCAGAATGAGAGTCCAAACAGCTGATAAAAACATCACAATAATCCACAAGAAATCCACACCACTCCAGTCCATCAATTAATGTCTTGTAACATTACCTAAATCTATCCATAATACCAGTGAAAAAATCTTGTCTGAATCAGGAGAAATCTGCACGGATCAAGCACCGTTTACAATCCAAAACAAATAAGTGGGTGGATTTTGATGTGAGAGGACAACAGGAGATGGACTTTTTCCACTGGAGGAAGTGTTATTATGAATTATGGACTCATATTTTGGACTTAAGTAGCAGTTTTAAGTTAAAAACATCCTAATGGCGTATTTGTTTCTTACAAACATGCAGTTTTTCACTTCACAAGACGTTAACTGATGGACTGGAGTGGTGTGGATTATTGTAATGTTTTTATCAGCTGTTTGGACTCTCATTCTGACGGCACCCATTCACTGCAGAGCATCCACTGGTGAACATGTGATGGAATGCTAAATTTGTCTAAATCTAAATTTGATTCCTTTTAAGCAAATAAATACAGTAAATGTTGATTGCCTGTTGTCTTTGATGGTTAAAACATTTATTTCCCTTGTTAGGAGAATAATTACAACCTAAATCTGTCTAATTTATCACATTTTTGAAATACTGTGACACTATTGCTTTTTATTTAAACTCAAAATTATTTCTGTCTCTGTTCTCATTCTCAGCTTGCGGCGATGATTGTCTCCATGATCCTGTATTGTAAAATAGGATCAAAACAGGAATAATGCCTCACCTTTAGCTTGAATATCTCTCTGATGACTCCTCTGGTTTACTGAGGATGAGGTGGATCATCTGTCTTAATATCACAGTTACTTTTTCAACCATTTAGAATTTAATCAAACAGTATGACATTACAAGTCTCTCTGAGTCAGAGCGTCCACAAAAAAATAAATAAATTCAGACCGTTAAGCCTAAACTTTGACTGCAAACATGCATTTTGAAAGATCTCTTTTTTTTTTTTTACTGTAGTTATGTTAAAATTAGCTGTTTTAACTGTTTTAATACTTAATGTATCTGTGAGACTGATTAAAAATTTTTGTTTACTTTTTAATTTTTTTACATTTTGCCTATGCAAGATGTTTTCTTATTTAAAAACGAAACACTTTGTTTAATTGCATAACACCCAAGGCATTATTTTGTAATTCTGAACACACTGAGGGATTTTCCTACTGACATTATATGTGCAATGACAAAAAAAGGCCAAATGTTTTCTAACAAATGTTGTTTGATTGTAATTTATTGTAAACTTTTTACAAACCAAAGCTATTTTAAAAAATATGCCTGTTCGTGTAATAAAGCACAATGTTTTATTTTAAAATCAAAAAAAAAAAAAAAAAAGTTTAGATTATATTATATCATGTTGCTAAAATGTTAATGTACAATGTTTATTTTGACAATAATTATAAAGAGAATATTTCAACCTGTTTGTGATGGGTCATTTCTTTAAATTCTTCAACTGTAACTCCACTAATGTACATTCAGCCTCTGATCTTTAAAGGGGTCATATGATGCTGCTAAAAAGAACATTATTTTGTGTATTTGGTGTAATGAAATGTGTTTATGAGGTTTAAAGTTCAAAAACACATTATTTTCCACATACTGTACATTATTGTTTCTCCTCTATGCCCCGCCTTTTTGAAACGCGTCGATTTTTTCAAAGCTCATCGGTCTGAAAAAGCGAGGTGTGCTGTGATTGGCCAACTATCCAGTGCGTTGTGATTGGCCGAATACCTCAAGCATGTGACGGAAATGTTACGCCGCTCACATACTGTGATGGCGTGTCCCAGCCGGAGCGACGGGACATAAACATTAATGGCGCAGTGAGAGAGACTTTCCTCTGGAGCTCTGAGAGAAAGCTCTTCACAGGGAACCTGAGCGCTTGAGGCAGGTGTTCGTGTGGCCACAAGGCCCAGAAGAGGACAACAAACAACAAAATACACCATGTCCACTGGGAAAAATGCACCTGGTACAGAAAAGTGAGTTGTTGATAGCTTGTTTATTTTAAAAGGAATTTTGAAAGTGTTGCATTTCAAGTTTGTACTACTCAGCAAAACTGAAACTTTCATTCTTTGTGGTTCTGTAAGTCTCTAAATGGCTGATTCAGTGACATTTTTTTTTTCTCTTAATGTCAAATTTTCACATCTCTTCCTTCCTTGTTTTGCAAGAGTCTGGTTTGAGCTCAGCTCATGCTCTCAGTGAGAGAATGAAACGCCATCACTAAATATCATGCTTAAGAAAGCTTCACTGCTGGCAGATGTGCTCTTAATGTTGTTCAAGTGAAATAATTTGCAGTGTAGTGTGACATATTCATATTCTTATCCAAAGGCGCTGGCTGTCCATGCCCAGTCTGTGTACTCTGAGCAAATATCAAACACCTTGACTAGTGACAGTGTGTGTGAGCCATATTCTGCATTGCATTTGTGCTTGTACATGAGTCATTGCGGCTTGTAAAGTCATCCAGAGTTAATTTATAATTATAATAATTAATTATTAATTAATTCATTTTGTGCAATTAATTATTAATTAATAAATATTTTGTGCATGAAAGTAATTACATTGTTTTAATTACTTTTTTAATGTATTTATTCATTTGTTTCATGTAATTCACTTGGTTATTTTGTTCCACTAAAATGTTATATATATATATAATCTGTATGTATGTATATTTGTATATACATAGACACATTTTTAGCTAAAAAATTTAATTTAAAAATAATTGTATGACTTCTGCTCATTGTTCGTGTGTGTGTGTGTGTGATCAGCTCCAGACAGATGTCCCTACAGGCCTGTCTCGATGAATGCATGGAGGCCTTGGATCTGTTTCTCAACAACCACTTCAGTGAGAGTTTGGACAAACTACGGCCACGGTGAGAGAAGTCTTATTATAATCCTAATGTGTTTCTGTCATTCTTTCGTTCGAAACCCTGTCAGGATGATCTTGTATCACGTTTTGTCAAAGACTGTTCTGAAAGGACATTTCACTATATTCGGTAACTTTTTAGTTTTGAAAGATGAATTTGTAAATGGAGTTGAATTCACTTCATAGGTCTAACAAATCATGGGAAGAGTTTGAGCGCTCAATAAAACTCCCAATTTCCTATTTTTGGACTAGGCTGAACAGCTATTTAATTGTAGTACTATGGTCCTTCACTGTCGTAAAGCTCCCTCTACTGCCCTCTAGTTGCGATGCCGCAAAATGACTGACAGCTCGATGCATCACATGAAATGACGTCCAACGATAAACTGTGTGGTTGGGCGTACTAATAAAATGGATTAAAATGTGATTACAATTTTTCGTTGAAAGATAAATTTCTTTATTTTTCTGGCAGTGACCATGCTATTGATCTTGCTCATATCTTTGTGTTAGACCTACATTGTATTTTTTTTTTTTTATGCACAAAAACAATTTTCTCAATTTCACCTATAGATCTGGTGTCTTTCTTACTGAGATTTCCCTTGTAAAATCTCTTAAACTAACTAAACAATAAGAATAGCAAGTTTTTCCTTCCTTTTCATTTTATGTTATTGTATTTCAATGTTTTATTTTCTTTTCCCTACTAAGATGGTGTAAAGTAGCCTACAGAAAGATATTTATGAAAATATAGCATATTTCATTGTTGTGGAAACCTTTCCCCACCTTTTTTTACCTTTTGGCTTTGCTGATCATCTAAAAGAGGGTGTTAAACTATTTTAATTATTTTTTAATTTTTGGTCATTTCATATAGGCCTTAAGAACTTTGATTAAGAGATTGAATTTGGATTGTATTTTTTTATATGCGCTATTATGTGATATTTTTAGGCCTACTTGTGTAACCTAGGCTATCTTTAAATTTCCTTTCTTTTCTTTTTTAAGGGTTATAATGTTATTGCTCTTTGAAAAACGCCATATACTTTTTATGTCTTCATAAGACCTAATTTATTTATTAATTTGTTTGTTTGTGTTGATATTTTAACCTTGCAAGTGTGAAAAGCTAAATCTATAGAATGAACATGCTTAGATGTGTTATACTTAAGCTGCCTGATATGTATTTCTTTGTGTTTTCTGTGTTTTTTAAACGTTTGAGTTGTACCTTTGCGCATGGTAATGTGTTTCTGTCATTCTTTCGTTCGGTTTCTCCTCCCCTCCAGTATCTGTGTGAGTGATCTTAAGAGCAGGCGAGCTGTTTAGTAAAGGTGTGGTACCTAACATACCAACCCCATAAGGCTCTGTTTTTCAGTCAGATGCTGCTGTGAATGTGCTGGTCTCTGAAGCACTTAGTTAGTAGTAATTGTAGATGTCATCCCGTGATAGCATGCTTTATTTCCATTGTGACAGAGTTGCATCAGGTGTGCTCCCTTGTCCAGGATGTGAGGTGTTTACCTAAAGATCACACCCTCATGTCTGACAATAGTCCTGCACACAGAGCCACTTCATTAATCTTTGGCTGGGAGAGTGAGTAACTTTATGCTGGGTAGGAAACCACATGCTTAAGTGACTCCAACCCTCATTTTTATATACAGGCCCACCTGGGAAGTACGTAATTCTTGGTTTCAGACTATAAATCTTTATTTTATCAGTATTTTAGGACAGTTTTGGGCTAGTCTGTGTTTTAAAGGTGCAGTTTATTTTAAAATGTTTTCTTCAATTTCATTTTAATTTACAGAGACAACTATAAGTAAGCCAATCGTAGGTTAATTTCCCTGAAGAACTATCAAAACATTGCTCTGTTTGTTTGAAAATTCTGGCATTGCAACGTCTCAGCCAATGGCATGCATTGGGGGGCGGGACTGTCTGCGTGTTTGACCAATGACAGACTTGGGAAGTTACTAAGGGAATCAGTTTAAAAACAATTTCGTTTTGTTTAAATGTTTATTAAATGTTTTAAAGGTGTAGTTTTGTTTTCATTGTTAAAGTATTTTCTCTAATCCCATTTTAATGTATAGAAACAACTAAAAGTAAGCCATTCTTAGGTTAATTTCTCTGAAGAACTATCAAAACATTGCTCTGTTTGTTTGAAAATCCTGGCATTGCAACGACTCAGCCAATGGCATGAGTTAGGGGGCGGGACTATCTGAGTGTTCGACCAATGACAGACTGGGGAAGTTACTGAAGAAATAACTGTCATTATTTTTAGATTCTGTTTGGTGTGACAGATATTACACACGCCACTCTTTAAAGAAAACCGTTTTATTTATGAACTTGAAATGCTTTTAACAATTTTTATTAAAGTGGCTTATGAAAAATGAAAAATTTTTGATGCAAGGGTTAAAGTGGTGTCAGGAAATGACAGAAGACAGATTTAAGCACCTTTTACACCAACGCTGCGACCAAAATCGAATACTTCCCTACTATATAGTATGCGAAAACATACTTTTTTAACGGTCGTGAAGTACGTTCAAATTCAAATGTAGTACCTACTCGGACAGAATGCAATTTCAGATGCACCACAAGTATTTTTAATCGTTCTAATTCTATGAAAATAGAGAAGTTACAACTATATAATTAGATTCACTTTTAGAGCAATTTTTTTTCCAGCTGATGAACGGTAAAAACATTGACGACCAATCAGAATCTACCCGACTTTAAAGAGCTCACGAATTTAAAGCGGCACACGACAAAACTGCAGCATGCACTTATAATAAACAGAATATTATTTATTTATTTTATTGCTTTAAATTATCATTTTAAATGAAAATATTTTATATATATATAATATTATAATATTTATAAATATTTTGTTTATTGTTAATTGACAGGGCTTTAAAGTGAATAATTATAACACGAAAATACTGTACATTTGGATAAAATTATATACAAATTATGTAAATTTATTTATTTAATTTATTAATTTCTTTTAAAGCTTTAATAATTTTGTCCAAACACATTTTTTATTTTAAAATATTTTTGTGTGCATCAATATTAATAATTTAAAATATTTTAATAATTTATAATATATATAAAATGTTTCGTAAAATATGTTTCTGGGAAAACTCAATTTCGCTGGATTCACTTTCAGAGCAGTTTTTAAAAATAATTATCAGGTCATTTCACTGCTAATTGCACAAGTCCGTTGAATTCTGATTGGCTGTTAAAAAACTCGAGCATTTAAAGTGGCAGACGACAAAACTGCAAGCTGTGGACACTGAACAGTTATCTTTATAGTTATCATTCTTGGTGTGAACAGACCTTTAAGCTTGCATCACCCTAAACCGCTAAGTCAAAGTGAAATTAATACGTGTTCTTGCATGAATGTGACAGGAACATAAGTGTTCAATACT